TAGTATTTTGTATTAATATATAAAGTGTAAGCAGCAATGCATCTCAACCAACTAATTACAAAAAGGAAAAGAATTAAGAATACAGATGCATATTAATGCATATTATATGCATTTGTATTCTTAAGTCTATTCCATTTTGTATCTATTCCTTTTGAGCTCTGTTGCACTTGTGTACAGTAGATACATGAGTCATAAGTTTCTACTGTGGTAGATGCAGTTCCTGAATTCTGAAATGATAATATGTATACAGAAACTTGAGGAGCTGTTTGTTTCCAGACATAAATTATGCCTAGTCCAAGGGCTCTGAAGGATTGCAGAATGAAAATGTATATTTCCCAGCTAGACTCAGTTTCAGGAAAACCAGCTCTTCGTGTTTGCAGGTGATTCAGTTCTATTGTTAAGCCTTTGTGCATCACATAGCTGGCCTCACCCTTTGCTCACTGCACTTGAAATAGAACCAACAGAAGTAGGGTTTTTGTTCCTCTTGTCTGTCCACATTCCTCTTTTCTAAAAGGATGTGGGGTTCTGGAAACGTTCTTATACCTAGTCAAGAATTTATATGGACCAAAATGTTTGTTAAATAATTTATTCTCAAAGGCATGATTGATTTGACACATGATCCTTAAAAAGACAACGTTAAACAAAGTTAGATTGCTTGTACATGATCTAACTATATGACTTTCATAACTATATGTCTTTCAGTCCACAGTGTACTCAACCAAGGTTCAGTCAAAAAGAAAACATACACATAGTGGATTTAGCTGAAGTTCATGATTTGGACTAATTCATGTCAATCATCAGAGTGTACAATGGTGAATTAATAAAATATCTTTTTGTCTCCCTTGAACATCACTATTTGTCTTCTTGACTTCCAGTTCCAATGATTATCCACTGTGAGCCCTGACGCTGTGAACACTGAGAGCTGGGAAAAGATGTCGCTCCCGCAGTTGGTGCTGGTGAACTTTCAGTACGAATACACAGCACGCGACGGCAGGCATGTGTCCATCAAGCCCAACGAACGCTATGTACTGGTGGCCAAGACCAATGACCACTGGTGGCATGTACGCAAAGACGAGGCAACCAAACCTTTCTTTATCCCAGCCCAATATGTCACAGTGTTGTCCTCTGAAAATGAGACTATTCAACCTTCAAATAAGCAGGATGTGCAGGATACTCCAATGCCATATTCTGACACAGTGCCCCCTGTGTCTTTGGAGGTGACCATTAAAGACCAAAAATCCATCAAGACAGCTAATGAAAAGGACAAACACAGGATCTCCAAGGTTGTCATTCCAAGGGATCAGTACAAAAACAAATCCTCTGAGAATGTGCCATGTGAGGCTAAAGCTGAGCCAGGGCTTGATCCTTACAACTTGTACAAGGACGCAAACCAGATGGATATTAGCCAAGTTGGTTTAACAAATTATTTTTCTCTGGTTAAAGGGGAAAGTGCATATGCTGTCTCCCAACCACATATCCCTACTACTAACTCGCAAAGAACATTAACAGAGCCCAGTGAGATTCAATCAAATGAAAATCCTCATAATGACCTCAACGATGATATTCGAATGCTCATACGGGCTGGCTGGGACCCAAAAATATGGGACCTCAAGGAAGACCATATATGTGAGTCTGTAGATTCAGTAAAGGATTCAGTGGTTCAGGACACTAAAGACAATGAGAGAAATGTGGAGGTAGAAGTGGCACTGGTCTCTCCAGTTTCTCCTTCATCTACATCTCCTCCATTTTCTCTACACCAGAGTCCTGGTTCTCCCACTGACATGCCATGTGCATTCACTGAGAAGGTACAGTCCATCTTTATTTATTCATCCCTATAAGAATTATACTTAAATGAAAAGGAAAACAGTCTATCCATTATGTTCTGTTCAGGTCAGAGTGAGTAAATTTTTAACTGCAACACTACTAAACTGCAACTGTAATAAAAATTATTATACCAATTGTTTGACTCAGTTTTCTAACCATTAAAACATTTTTATGCATCAAATTTATTTTACAGATATTATGTTAAAGTAATTTGACCTGAGTCACATAGTTTGTACTGCTAATAATTTTGATGAAGAGATGGGATATTTTCAAAATGACAGTTGCATTGCCACAAATTTAGAAGGGATGGCCTGGGTGAATCAAGCAGTACATTCACTGCTGAGTAGTAAACAAAACCTAAGTGTTAGTCATACACATGGCCCCACTGTGTGGTGCTGTACGCAACAAAATTTGGAGTGCAAAGAAATGGTGTCAGAAAATAACAGGTTAACTTCACATCCTCAGGTAATGCCTGCTGAAAGAGGGAATTGAGCACTGGACTTAGACTTATGTACATGCAGTTGTGATTATTTTAATCTGCCAAGAGCAGTTTTGCAATTCCTAAAGTGACCTCCAACTGTATTATCAAAAGACAATTATAATGTGTTGTATGTTTGTGTTAGAAAAATACCTCTGCCAATTAACTAAAGGTCACCTTCTTGGAAGGCAAACTAATTAAGAGTAATCCATAAAATGTTTGTTATTTGACTGACTTGTGTGGAAACCTTGTACCCCTGGGCAAATGTCTGTAGTCTTGGTTTATAGTACTGGACTCTTGAATTTCCTCAAAAGGTTCTAAGGTGTGGTATAAAACTCATTGATTCAGTAAGATGATATTTATTTATGTTTGTGATAATGATGCCCATAATCATAATACTGTCTGTCATAATAATCAGTCCTAATATCTAATGTTGATCATAATACTGCTTTGTGACTGTGTGCTAAGTCAAATTTTTATTAAAAAAAAAAAAATTGCAACAGTTCCAAAACTAAAGATCATTCTCAATGAAAATAAGCTTTTTAGATTTTTAGATTTTTTGCTTTTAATGCACATAGCTGTTGTTGTACGCTATTCATTCGTAACGTTCAGTAGCAGGCAATGTCCCATTTCTGCCAACATATATATATATATATATATATATATATATATATATATATATATATATATATATATATATACACAGTACTGTGCAAAAGTCTTAGGCACCCTATTTTTTTTAGTACAAACTTTGTTATAGATTTGTATTTTATGACTTCTACATTATTGATTCAGTACAAAAACTTTTTACATTTCCAAACATTAGTTTTCCAGCCCAAAATTAAATGTTACAGAAAAATGTTTGTATGTCAGTAAAGAAAGCAGCATATTACATAAGAGACCACTTTTCAGACAAAAAAACATAATGAAGGCTGCTGGGTTTTGCTGCAAAAATAAGAAGCAAGTGCGACAGTCAAAGTCTCCAGAAGAACTGTGGCTGCTTCTGCAAGATGCTCAGTAACACTTACAGCTCATTTCCTTATAAAACTGCACTAATTGTACCTGAGACTACTATTTTTTTTTTAAAGTGAAGGATCATCACACCAAATATTGACTTTGTTGCATTTATTACTGTTTACTGCTCTTTATAGTAATTTTTTAATGTAGAAACATTTAATTTCATTATTTTTGAAGGCATCTTTGCTCTACAGCATTTCTTTGCATGTGCCTAAGACTTTTGCGCAGTACTGTGTGTGTGTATATATATATGAATTTACGTTATATATGTTAATATGTTGATATGTTTTGTTTTATATATGTTAATTTAATACCCTATATGTGCTGGCTAGACTGTCTTCCAACTACAAGAAAATCTAACCAATATAAGATATTAACTTATACCACCATATAAGATATTAACTTAACATATATTATGGCACTGGCTTTTGTGAAATGACCAGGAGTCATCTGAGGGGGTTTTGATAAATCACATCATTCACATAATCTGATCAAGCCTGTCAAACATGTGCCCCTGAGCTGGGAGCAGCCTTCTCAGTTATTCCACTAGGGGGCAAAATAGATTAATAAACACAGGGCTATAAACTCAGCTATCGACAAAATGTGAAATGATAAGTCATTTTTCATTAGCAAGGTAAAAAATTTTGTATATTATCCTAATTAAGTCTGTTTTCTAATTAAGTCCACTATACTAGAAAAATGTGGAGAAAAGTTCAAGGGGGTGAATATTTAGGCAAGGCAATGTAGGGTAACCATAATTTGGAAAGTTTGTTTTCTTGGTAATGAATTGCAATCTGTTTATCTGTTTTGTAGGTGATGTATGTGTTCAATCTGTGAGTGTAACCTTCCAGATAAATTCTGATAAATGAACACATCTAAGAGGAGTTGTTGGTCTATGAAACTGATTTTTTTCCTCCAGCTCACTTGACATAGGTCTGTGAGTATCAAGACAACTGACCACAGTGTTTGCATGAGATTTATTGTAACTTTGTTGTTGAATCTTTAACCGTTAATCTCTTTTCACATGCTTTATGATGTCAATCAACAGTAAATCATCAGGTAAAGGTGATGGAATTGAACAGGCCACACAGTTCAGCGCAGCTGTTTTTGTGCCAAGGCGCTGAAAGAGTTAAGTTCATGAGCTCCTAGTGCGCAAAACACTCCCTACGGACCAGCTTCCCAACCCGACTACCTGTTTTCCACACACAGCATCAACTTGCCCTAGGATCATCCGTCGTTTCACGAGGGATTTAATAAGAAGATAATCATTTTAACTCTTTCTAGAGGGAAAAACATCTGTTGCACGGTAGGCTGTGGCACTTTCTCTGTAGAGGATGTAGCAGATCCAGGTGAATCAGGAAACGCCTTTAGTTTTAATTTGGTTCCCTTTTTTCAGGTTCTGAAACTCCAGAGGTTTCGTGTCAGCAAAATAACTTCTCCTTCGCGTTTAAATGACTTTTGAGTTGAGTACTATGGTTCGCGGCTACATAAAGTCGTGTTTAAAAAAATAAAATCGCATTCTAGCGCACTAAAAGTACGTGAAAGTAGCAGGTAGCCATGGAGACCATGTGAGAATGCGACCGTCAGTGGTGCAGATTTAATATACTAGTTAATACAGTAGTATGCAGTGCTCGAAGTTGGTTACGTATTTTATGACGTAATAAAATAATAAGCGCTTAAGGTATTGGTGGTTTAGTGGTTAGCACGTTTGCCTTGTATCTACAGGACCGGGGTTCGAGTCCCATGTCTGCCCTTTGTGTTTTCTCCCTGCTTTCGGGGTTTCCTTTGGGTACTGTGGTTTCTTCCCCAAGTCTAAAGACATGGCTGTTGGGCCTCTAAAATTGTCTGTAGTACATGATCATGCGCTGTGGTACCCCAGTACCCTATCCATGGTGTCCCCCACCTTGTGTCCTGAGTCCCCAGGGATAGACTCCCCTGTGACCCTGTGTAGGATAAGTGGTACAGAGAAGGGATGAATGTTTTAGTATTAGCTCACATTGATGACATCTACTCCTGATGAGTAGACACAATTTGGTAATTTCATTTTTGGCTTTTTCAGCATGTTCAGACAACTGAATTCTCATAATTCCATGTATATGAGTAAAGAGCAGTGAAAAAGTGACTGTGAAATCTCACTCCACACTGAACTATAGCTCTTTGAAAGAACTAAAAGGCCCCTTTGGAAGTCTGCCACTGAAGTTCTGGTCTCCATGGCAATTGGAGGTCCAAGTATGGCACAGCCGAGGTGCAGCAGGCTATAGGCCAGGAATATGCTAATGTAGGCTCTTACTGCTTACTGCATGACCGGAACCTGTGCTTGACTTATGGTTGTGGTTGTCTTTTGTGTTTTGTGTGTTAGAGGGCATTGGTTGGGACTCATCTGAATTCTGTTGACATTTCTGCATGACATAATGTAAGCAAAACATCAGTGACTTCTTTGTGTATGACTGTGTGATTCACTGGGAAGGGATACATGTTATATGTGTGAAAAGTACAGGAGAGACACAGAGAGGCAGTTCATGGAAAGATACAGTTTTAAAACCACTTGCGATTAAAAAAAAAAAGATCTCCTAAAAGCATTTGTTCTGTTGTTTAGTCTACTAACATATAGATATATCTGAGGGTTGTACTTCAGAATACTTTGTGTGTGTCAAGTTGCATAGAGAAGTAGACATTTTGGCATTGTCATTTCTGTGTACTTTTGTAATAATGCACCTTATTTATATGCTGTACAGTGCAAATAATGCATAATAGACATGAATACTGTATGTGTGATACATTTCAAATGACACCATTAGGTCTTCTACATTTTACAGTTTACATGCTAAGTTAGAATGAAGTGAATTTAACAGTGTTTCTGAATCTATTCACATACAATGACATACTGAAGCAATGAGACACATTTGACCCTTAAGTTACTTAAGTTAATTTGACCCTTATGTTTCTTGGGGAACTTCACCTTTTACTTAACTTCTGCTTAGAAATCACACATAGCCATGTGGAAAAGGGAAGATTAGGGAAGGGTTCCGTTATTAGCAGAACCCTTATGTGACCTTATGGGTCAGAGGTCTATGTGTAAATACAGTACATCTGACAGTATGTTTTATACAGTGGAATCATTTGATGAAGGGAGTTGGCAGTAACACTGTTGACATGATTGCAAAACAGTCAGGAGTATTTTTGTAGCTTCAGCACTTCAGCTTTTCTGAGAGTCAGGTTTGTTTTGTAACATGACTGTAATAGTAGCATAAGGGAACAAGATTCTGACCATTAACTGCTGAGGTTCAAAATCTAAAGTGTTATGACAAATCCATTTTTATTAGAGACATGCTACTAGTGGCCTATGAATTTTTTTATTGAAATGTTTTAATGAAGATATTCGTAGGCATTGTAAATAATAAAACAGATTTAAATCTGTTTAATACTCAAGTTCTAAGGAAAGCTACAACCCAAATAACCTGGGTGTGGCCCTAAGTTTAACTGTATATAACATTTCCTATAAGATAGCTGCACATTCTCGTGAATTCCTGAAAATGTTCTCATAATAAATACTCGTATAGGACTTGAGCTAATGCACATGTAAATTCAGACTACAGTAATTATTGTTGTGGTCTTCCGGGGCTTCCAGTATCACCTACTATCTTGAATCTACTTGAGAACCTTAAACATTTCATGAAGCATGGTGTACCAGTTTTCATATGTGAAAGGCTGAATCTGCTGCACAGAGCTGTCTCAGTGTAAGCACATCTGTATCTTCTACATTGTGGAGTGTTGGAAATGCAGCAGAACTGCTCTGACCGGTAGTGTGTGTGTGTGTGTGTCTGTGTGTGTGTGTCTGGATGAAGCATATGTATACACAGGGGAGGTTTAGCTTCTGCTTGCACATTAGGTTATTTATGTAAACAATAAGTGTTTAGAATTCTGTGCAAAGAACTTTCACTGTCAATTCCATGTTTAAATGTTAGCCACAAATTTACTCAACAACAACACTGCTAAGTTTTAACGGTGCATTTATATCTTAAATAATTATCTAATTTAAAAGGGTGAAAAAAATCTGATGTGAAATATTGCCTAACATTGTTTATCTGTTTTGTGGCCTGCAATTTTGCATCACCCTGCTGTTCAGCTCCTCAGCCTTCTACCGAGCAAACATCAAAGCAACAGGCAAAAATTTGTTTTGTATGTAAATATCACATGGAGCCTTGAATACAGAGTGTGACTACGACACAGCAGCAGGGACAGAATAACAAATCCAAAGGTTTGGGTACTCTGATGAATCATATGGCTATGGTTGTCTGATTTTCTCCTGATTTTCTATTCCCAGAATGTCTGTCCCAGCCTGTGTTTAGTTCCAATCCAAAAATGTGTGCTGCTGAAAAATATGGTGGTTTCATTTCACCTGTGCTTTATTACAATACAAAAGTAACAATGATATAGATACATTTAGTCAAAGTTGTAAGATTATGTGAACTTCAGGTTATAAGAGTTATGTTTATGGTGTATGTTTCAGCCCTGGTCATACCATTATAGATGTTTATTAGTGGTAGCTTGGGCTGACGTGTTTTATAGTTGTCCATGTCAAAATGAGCCCTCGCTGTTTGCTTACTGTCTGACTTGTGACCTTTAAAATTACTTTGCTGGGCTGAACAAACATCACAATTCCTGTTATGATCACATCTATCCCATGTACTGTATATAAACAAGTGGACTCTTCTCATATCCCCATCCAGACCAAACATGAAACACCACTGAAGACTGTAATAATCGTCACACTGAATAAGATAAGTACATAAACAATGTGCTCACATGGCATAACATTCATCAAGCCATAACCAATACCCTTTGTGAGTTGTGTGTTGATGGGTAGTGTAACGAGCTGTCAAGTCCCCACTATGATCAATGATCATATAAACATACAGTGTGGCATTTAATTACTGTAGGTCTTATTCATATTTTTTGAATATAATTCAATTAGTTGAGCCCAAGAAAGGAACAAAAAATCTTAGAAGAGCTATATTTATTCGCAGTGTATCAGCTGACTGATTGCATCCCCTAGGTGGATTGCCAGCCTTTTTGGGTGACTCCTCTTTTCTACTGTAGGGGATTTCTCTGAACCAGCGACAGTAATAGGTAGCAGTGATTAAACTGTGTGTTTTGGTGTAGGGTTTACTGGTTAATCACATTATCCTGTAAAGTGTCTGTCTTTTAACAATCAGATTCTTAGTCTTAAACTTAGTTATGGAAAATATGTTCAGTTGGATATAGTTTCGAATTAAGCTCAAAATACGGTTGTATAGCACTGGATGTCAAATGTGCTTTATGTAACATCCGTTTTTAGTTCCTGTGTGCTCACTTCCTTGTTTCAAATGACACTTGGTGGGTTTGCTGTGAGCCTGCCTGTCCTGCATAGTCGTGCCATTCAAAACAGGTTGTGTTGTCAGCCAGAATACAAATATTTTACATACGCTTTTTCAAGTGGGCTCTACTGCAATTCCATCCTGATTTGTATTTCAGGAAATGTTCATTTAGGATGGATATTAACCTGCTGGACATTGGTTTCTGTTCTCCTTTGGTATTTCAGATCATGATATTGAAGTATTTTGCCAGAAGCAACCTTATATCTCAGATGGACAGGGCATATATCCATCTCCTGCCTGACAGTGTGGTTGATAATCAGACTCTCTTTACCCATGGCACTACCAGCCATCACTGTATAACTGACGCTATGATGCCACATGTTGCAGTGCATTAGATCAGACCTTCAGCATTCTGTGAGTTAATCCAGATTCCAGGCCATGCTTGATGATATAACATTAGGGGGGAGAGGGAGGTTTGGCCTCAATAGTGCTTCTGTGCAAGAAAGAGAGACTGTGTGTGTGTGTGTGTGTGTGCTTGTGTGTGTGTGTGGTGTGATTGGGTCCTTGTCTGCCTTGTCAAGCTCTGTTCCATTGAAACAAGTAATTTGATTAAGTAAGCAATTGTATGCTTTCTTGATCTGTGCTCCACAGTCTGTCTCTTATTCATTTATACTAGCTATCAATTCTTTGTCATATATCACTATGCTGGTAGACAGATGGACCAGCATGAAAATTCTTTGTCATAATCTATATTACTATGGGTATGTCAGTTTATTTCTACTTTCTGTTAACTTAGATCCAATATTTGCAGTTCCTGACATTTGACTTCTATATGAATCGATAAATAGTAAATCAAAAAAATTTTCTGTTCCTCTTAAAACCATATGTTCACCTGAATATACACTCGCTGGTCACTTTATTGGGAACACTTCTACATCTGCTCATTCTATTGCTCATTATATCCAATCATCCAATCATGTGGCAGCAATGCATAAAATCACGTCTATATGGGTCGAGAGCTTCAGTTAATGTTCACATCAAACATTAGAATGGGGAAAAATGTTATCTTAGTGACACTGACTGTGGTGTGGTTGTTGATTCCAGACAGGCTGGTTTGAGAATTTCAGAAACTGCTGATCTCCTATACATACATAGAACAGTCTTTACATAGAACGGTCCAAAAAAAAAAAAAAAAACATCTAGGATGAGCACCGGTTCTGTGGGTGGAACATCTTATTGATGAGAGAGGTCAGACGAGAAATGCCAGACTTGTTTGAGCTGAGAGGAAGGCTAAAAAGATTAGGAAAAGACCAGATGTTTTCCAATCTTCAACTGTCCAGTTTGGGTGAGCCTGTGCCCACTGTAGCCTCAAATTCCTGTTCTTGGCTGACCGGAGT